AGCAGAGTAGGGTCGAGATCCCAAACTTTGCTTTAATCTGGATTTCTTTGGCTTTTGTTATTTTAAATCGGATGTTCAGTGTGAGCCTAGGGCTACATTTTGGAGACTCTTATGTTGGTTGCTGGGTTAAACAAGCTCTGCTAGAGAAACGGGGGCTTACCAGCACGTGCTGGCCRGCACTCGCTGTACATAAATAGAATGACTTACTAGGGGCATGTATTTGTCAAAGCCTTACGTTTCCTGGTATAACTGCTATTCCCGAATGCCTCTGTTTTTTGACAAGGGGTGTTTTTAGCCTTTTCTAAATCCCTGGCCTAACTTGTGCTGGTGTTGGTACCCGAGGCACTGAGCGTGCTGCCTGCTCGCCAGCACCGCGCTGCCCGTGCTGCGGCCGCCGCGTGCGCCCGCGGGCCCTCGCGCCTGCCCCACGGGGAGGAAACTGGCACAGTCGCCCTCTCGAGTGCCCCTCTGGTTTGTTTCCTTCCAGCAGCCAAGAAGTCATTGATTTTGCTCAGCTTCACAGTTGTGCCTCCGTGAAGCCTGGGGAGCGCTCTCGAGATGAAAAAAAGGCAAGAGCTCATCTTGGGTTTCAGCAGACGGTGCGTGTGCAAGGCAGAGGAGGAGGCATGAGATCATAGTCTATATACAACGCCGCATAATGCGGCTCGCAGGAAAGTCTTTATTAATTTTTAAAGCAGCACTCTACCAGGATAGCTCCCATCGCATATTGCAACTTCATGTTTCACGTTAAAGAAGCACCGCGGTGGGCACTCTCACCAGCATCCCTCCTCCTGTCGCTCAGAAGAAATTGCTTGGCTAAATTAATTCCAGGCTAGCACCAGTGTGCGGTTCCTGCCAGCCGGGCTGCCCTGGCACGGGATTTATCCCAATAAATCCAGATTCTTCCTCCTTTTCGCTTTTTTTTTTTTCCCTTTTTTTTTCTTTTCACTGTCTCAAAAAAGACGGACTGGGACCTGTCCTACCTCTTATGTTGTGCCGACACAGCAGCTCCTCCTGTGTTACGCACTTTCATGTGCCTAGGACAAACACTCCCCACTAAAAAACACTGCAAATCTCCAAAATCAGTGAGGTTCCAGTAATGAGATGGGAAAACCCACGAGATTTCAGTTTTAGTGTATGCAGGCATGCAGAAATCACTCCAACCGAGCTAAGCTCATTGCTAAAAYAATTCAGTTAAATCAGAAACACTCATTAAATCCGTCTAATCTGATTTGTGAATTTGCTTTATTTCTATGTTATGCCAAAATTTCAAGGATTTCAACTCCACAGCAGAAGCAGTGTCTGAACAGAATCGATTACAGAAACACTTGGCTAACCCGGTGCAGTTTCTACCCAGCACTTGGGCACTTTCCCTGCTGCCTCTTCAGACAAAACGATGCAGTAAATGCTGCTACCCCCGCAGCCCTTGGGCAGCCAGGGGAGAACATACGTGCACGTACATTCTCATCTTCCTACAAGCGCTTTTTACAGACAGCTATACATGATCGCTTAGACAGAAGCCTGAGTAACTAATGATGCCTCCAAATTAATTGCCGGACCCTCATCTTTTGTACGCACATCCAAACTCCCCAGCTATACTGTAACTCCACAACGGGTCAAGCAAAAAGTTAGCAGACAACTGGCCACGTTATTTCAAAATCCCAAAGCCTAAGGAAAGCTAAATAAATTGGGATTGGAGCTTCTTTAGGAAAACTCTAACATACCAGGTAGTCTGAGAGGAGGAGAGGAACCCCCGCACCTTGTTTTTGCCGTCTCTCACGCTGCCCTTTCCATGTGAAAGGATGTCGACACTCACAGCGCGGTGCCGGAGACGTCCGCGCCCTTCCCTTCCTGCCCGTGCTGCTGCTGGGGCCCRGCTCCGCGGGCCTGCAGGCCGGAGCCGCGGGCGTCCTGCTCACTGCACAGAGCTCACTGCTCCCCTCAGCGCCGCGGGCACACCACGCCTCCCCCATCTGCAAGAGAAACACAAAACTACAGAGCAGAGCACGGCAGAATATTTTTTCTAATTATTTATTTGAATGTAAGAGTGAATTTTGATATAACCGCGATGACACTTCTTCAGAGTTCACTCCGCATAGCTATTTAAGTACTTGAATTTCACAAGTTTTTTTTTTAATGTTTACAGAAAGTGACTTGGAGCTTGACAAATATTCACTGAAAGCATCTGCTAATCCCCATCCATCCTGTAATGGTAGTTACAGGTGCCACCTCAGTGGAGAGCAAAACCAGCTACGCTGTGATTTCCTTTTCAGGGAGATTTGCATTAAAATCTTTCCAAACAATTTCAAGACTGCAGTTTAGCACAAGAAGAAGCCTTCTCATCACCTTAAATTCTGAGGACATTTGACAATTTTCCAGTCTGCTCTCAGATGCATTGCTAATGAATTAAGATGAAATGCAGTGAATACTCATTCCTTGCAGTTACTRATTCTGTTATATTTGGCTGTAAGCTTTTGTAGAGTCACTGTGCAAGTTTCCTCCCTCACTGAAGTAAGGGCAAAGCAGAACTCCCGTTGATACAAGCTCATAAAGCCTCTTGTTTATTGTTGGATGTGGCTTCTCTCTTTTGTAAAAGGAATTTCATATGTTGAGACTCTTTGTACATATTTATAATGACTTTATTAAAAAAAAGAAAAACAATTGTTCACTGTGGAAAAAAAATGTGTCTGTTTTTATTTCCTCTCAAAACTGAGACAGTAATATCCTTCCACAATCCTGACTCTTTGCCTATGGAAATCAACAGCAGTTTTTCCATCAGGTTGCACTAGAACAGAAGTCATCCCCTGTACCTTTTCTGGTCTAAATGTCTTGTTTGAGAAGAGGGTAGAGCTGTTCGTCCCCATAAAACCATCACTGTGGTGTAGCTTAGAGAGATCAGCCCAGAACAGGGACAGAAGGGTGTTGGTTTAATCCAAGACCTACCTAACAGGGCACCGAAGCCCTAACACACAACACGGCACTGCTGCACTTGGTCCCTGATGGACCTGTTTGAGCAGCAGGAGTCTTCTGGTCTCAAAGGACAAGCAAAGAGCAACGTTCACAGGTCCCTGTGCTAGCAGGGCAGCAGAGGACGGCAGTGGTTAACGTGCACAGGTGGCAGACACTGCAGACACACCAGCGAGGGACGGCCGCGCGGGGACTGCCGGCCAAGCACAGCTCAAGAGCGGCCCCAGAGACGAGGCCAAACACGAACTGGGACCACAAGCCGTCTCGCAAACGGTGCTGCCGGGGCAGGCATTCTTCCCTGTGTACCAAAGCACCCAAGCACGAAGTGTCACCCAGGTTCCTCCTGAGGGTTTGCGCCGGAGCGGAGCGTTTCAAGCCCAGAATGATGCTAGTGCCCTCTTTCTTACTGAGACTGCCAAGTGGGAAAGAACAGTCAATAAAGAAAAGAATGTAAAGGAAAGGCGGGTGTCTAAGGACAGAAAAATAATTCTTCATGCTTTCCGCTCAGTTAACCTCATTTCTCACCAACTAAAAAAGTAATGATTATGAACCAGCATATCAAACATTTAATGTTGTTTGTTTGGGTCGTTTTTGTTGTTGTTTCTGAATATTTCTGCAAAAACTATTTGGAAAAACATGTAAAAAAGTCAATATGAGCCTGAAACTACAGATAATGTTTGATATGCTGGTTTGAAGWTTGAAGATGGTTCTTCAAACTTTGAAAGTAGATCCACCAATCCTTTAATTAAATAGCATTGTACTGAGAATGGAAGTTGGTGCTTTTCATCATAAATTTGAATCTGTCTGCTTGCAGAATCAGTAATTTGCCCTTTTCCTCACGGCTATCCTGGACTATCACACATAGTATTTTTATGCCCACTCCCTTCCTTACCGACCTCTCTCCCGCAGCCCACGAAGGCTCTTCACACTGTGGCCACTGAATTACTTGGCTTCATTTTCCCCTTTCCTGGGATTCACTTGACAAGAACCACATCCCTTCRTTTTGGATGGTAAAGCTTTTCCTCCTCTCTGCTTTCCCATGTCTCTGGAGCCAGATTTGGGCTATCTTCCTTGCTCAGACTCTGCCTCTCATCATTTTTCCTCCAGTCATACTTAACTATTATTTCCAAAGAAATGTTGAGCCTTAATCCTGTTACTATTAGCTCCTGCTTGCTTTAATTCTCCTCCCTCTGGAGCTTCTTGGCAGGAGGGGAAGGCGCAGCCAGTACMCACACAGGCTCATTTCCCCAGGTACAGTTCTTCCTGATTATCCCCTCAAGKAGGACTGTAACCTTACGGCCATCTCCATAGTAATGAGCACAGAAGATGCCACAGTTGCCTAATAAGGCCCTTTCTCTGGGCATGCAGCAGAGAGCAGGGGTCACTGAGCAAAGGAGAAGGCTCCAGCAAACAAACAGCAACTCCATTTGCATTCAAGTGTCACTGCAGCATCCTCAGCAGAGATGGAAATAGCAGCAATCTCCTCCTCCTAGGATATACAGTATGTTAATTTGCCTGTTAACAATACAAGGCATCTCCTCAAAGAGCTTGTTCTGAAGCAGGGGTGTTGAATCAAGTCTCCACCATCACAGGTGGATTACCCAGCTTGTATATAAACCAGGCTGGCTCCTGAAGCAATGCAGCTGCTTCTGTATAATGCTGCCCTCGGGCAAGTAAGTCTCACCAAATCCAGTCTCTCCAGGGGGGCTGCATCCTCATAGCCCAGCATTTCTGATAACAACAGTGCTATATGGGCTCGGTGCTACAGAAAAACAATTTGGGGAGACCCAGGCAGGCTCTGGGTGTAGAAAAGCACTGTATTTTAAAGACAGTAAGTCTTGCCTCAAGTGGTTGTGCTGAGGAATATTGCTGCAGAGATACCTGAATTCGTGGCATCGTCTTGGTTAGGACCTCAACTTCTCACTTAGTCAAATCAAATTTGACTTTAACCTCTCCCTGCTGCCTGCTGTTCTCCCCTAGGCTAGAAAAATCAGAAAACCTCACCATAAAAAATAAAGAGGAAAAAACAAACCCAAGAAAAGCAAGTGTCAGTTCCAGACTCACTAACATGGTCTTCCCCAAATTCCTTGACATTCAATTAAGATGACAATACACACAATTTATGGAATCAATTGCAAAAAAACAAGGCTGCTGGGAAATGCTGTTCTCCAGTCTCCAAAGAGATATTTGGACGTGCGGCTCAGACAGTGTTTTGGAAGAGTTCTCAAAGGTAGTGATAGCAACAGGATAATTTTGTGAAGCTGTAAATTCAGGGACGCTGGGCTGCTGATTTAATGTGAAAAATTTCACCTGTGGTTTGAGCCAGAGAACAGCTTTTTTTTTTTTTTTTTTTTTTTTCTCTCAGTGGATGGGGATATACATACACCATGGTGAATTACAGCATGCTTAACTTATACATGCAACATTTACCTATACTAAAAGGAAGAAAAACGGAAACTGGAGAAAACAGAGAAATGGAGAAAAAAATCTTGGCTCTAGTTTAACCGTGGAGGTTGCCACAACATGAGAAGTGTCTTTCTCGCCTTTTAGGATAATGTTTCTGACCAGTAACAATTGTTCTACAGGCTGCAGGAGAAGCAGAGCTAGGAGAAAGAGCAAGACAACCAGTCCACGGGCAACTACATAGGTGGAGGGGACACCAAGATTTTCCGGCTTTTTCTTGTCTCTGAACGTGTCGTTCCATGCGTTGGTGGAACATGTTGGTTTTAATACACCTGAAAGTGAGCAGAGGTGGTGCCGTCTTTCCAGCAGCGCAGGGTGTCCACTGTGACAGACCGACAAAGGGGACAGGTCTTCTCCCGGTCAAACCAGAGGCAGAGGCATTCCTCACAGAACACGTGCTGTGGACACGAGAGCAGCATCATGAGCAGGATAGCAGACCAGAACCTGCTACTAAGCGTGCACACACCGCTGCAGAGCACCCGCAGCAAGGAACTACTAGCGTCCAGGCTAGTGCCACTCACCAGCAGTGCTCAGCTGCTAGGAGAAAAGTCCCAATACTACTAGTACATCAGTACATCTAGTACTCYGTGTCTTAATATAGCTCCAGAAGTAACAGAAAGAAACCTTAAAAATGCCTAGGATATTTGGGCTAACAAAGTTGTTGAAAGCACTCTAACCTTTTTTTTTTTTCTTTAAAAAAAAACTTTTTTCATGTCACACACTCATGTCCCTAGTTTGTCTTGTGAGTCTTTGCTTAACTTAGTCCCCTCTCATTGCCCTACCCATTACTGCACTTGTCTTTTTCTGCTCATATCACCGATTTTTTGGTCTGTTCTACCATCCCATCCCTTCTCTAGACTGTCAGCTTTCACACCTTATCTTCTCCATTCATTTCTGCCTCTGCTCCAAAGCTTGGGAATGTTGAAGCTCTTCAGTAAAGGTCTCCAGAGCCTTATTTTCACATCACAAGAGAACATATGTCCCTCCACATTCCATGGGAAGAAGAAAGAAATCTTGGGAAAGCATCATCAGCCTCCCCACGAAGCAGCGCCTTTGGCCAGCCCCGCTACTGAACGAAGCGCACAGCAGCGCGCTGCRTCCGCAGCGTTTCGGCAGGACCCGACTGGGGCTCCGGCAGGACTCKGAACCATTCTTCAGCTTTTGCTTTTTGCCGGCACTTCCCAAATGAGAAAGGGAACAATTCCCATGCTCTGGCAGGGGTAGCCTCTATAYGCAGGAGAGCTCCTTCTATTCCTGGCCAGGTGTTCAAGGGCCAGACCAGTCCAGCCACAGCTGCATGGGGCTGCACCTGTCTTAATGCACCCTACCAGGCTCATTCTGGACCTGTGGCCCTCTTGCAGCACTTAGAGCGACGCTCCTAGCGCGGCTGGCCCGTCAACTAGCCAGTATGCCCAAGGGTCAGATAAAAATGCCTTGCATTCTGGATCCAAGGCCTGGCTTGCCAGTTGGCAGCCCCTGGACCACAGGGCTGGTCTTTTCCATCTCACTAGCTACAATCAGGCTCTGTGGAGTGAAGTTCATATGGCTCAGCCATCCCGAATCACTGGCTGTCTAGAGGAGGGCAATAAATACCYACTAGGAGCGAGACCAAGCCACAGCAAATGATTTTATAAGTGCCTAGGCTAATTGTGCTGCTCCCCAGCTGCGGTGGTTAAGCAAGTGTTCACCAATGGGGGCACGTGCTGGGCGAACACAGGGTTCTTACCTGGCACATAAGGATCAAAGGTTCCCTGAATTCTGCCTGGCAAATGGCACAGATGTCACCCGCCTCGCTGCACTGCTGGCTGGTAGCACGAACTCCATACGTCTGTTGGGGAGAGGGGGGAAAAAAAGCCCATCCCTGTTAAAGGCTTTAAAGACGACGCGGTTTCTGGCTGAGACATTTTTTTCACTCCTAGCTGCCCTGCACTGCCTAGGAAGCAGGTCGGAGCTGGTTGCTGAGCACGGGAAAGGACAGTTTGGGGACCAGGGTGAGAACACGGGGAGTCAGGAGCTCAGTGCTCTCTGTTTTGTTTTCCCCTCAAGCTGACTCCACCTTTCAGTGCCTCCACTTGTGGAGCAATGATAATGAAATTTAATGAGCTCAACAGGGAGCTGAAAGGATTAATTCAGCATCATTTGCAGAGGTGTTTAGATGGTGGGAGGTATTATTATTAGCAAGCTAGACACTAGAAGAAAGAATAACAGCAGCAGCACCCACAGGCTTCCCACTTTTTTTTTTGTAAAATAAGTGCAAGGTAAATGTTGCTTCTCCTATTGTAGCTATAATAGGGAAAATGGAAATATGCTGTGGAAAAATGACCAACACAAGCCCATAGAATAAGGAAGTCAAGCTCTAACAAACTGCAGTGATGTTATGCTCCTTCCCCATAACCCCTTGGGCTTTACTGTTCTGAAATACAGATCACCTTTTTTCACTACCAGAGATGTAAATACTACTGTATAATGCCATACCAGGAGCTATTTCTGCATGTTGCAGTATCTGTTTCAGTATCACTGCACTGATACTGAAGTACCATCAGGCACTACATATCTTTACTTGAAGTCTCTCATATATCCACAGTTTAAAGTTTTATCAGCTTCTTAAGATTCTGGCATTGATGGATTAATCCATATCACACCAGGCTTCCGGTCAGTATTGCCACCATGCCCTAGCAGTGCTCACACAGGGCAGATACCAGAAAAGGCCCCTTACAAGAGGCACTAGTTTATCCCAGCCATGAGCCAACACGTTATTTCATCCCACGATCCTGACGCGATGAGCAATTATCAACTCCATCATTCATTAGTAACAAGGTTTGACCCATGAAACTGGTCCAACACACGTGACTACTCACCTGTGTGGTGCAAAGGACTTTCAGTGCCTTCCGGACACTTCCCACGCGGCCACAAATATCGAAGGACTGCAACAAAGACATTCAGTTTGAGATGCATTTTACACAGTGTGTGAGTGTCCGTGCGCACACAGGCCAGAAACTCAGGAAATGTGTGGCCCAGTTTCTCCAAATGGATACTCGGAGGGAACAAAGAGCCTAGACAACAGCAGTGCCAAAAAAAGATTTCACGGTGATCAAGAGATGTGTAATAAATGCGAATTGACAGTGCAGCAGGGTAGCCAAAAAGCCCTGGTAACAACGGGCTGCAAAGCAGGGACTTTACAAGCCAGAAAAGGGGGGCTGTGTTGAGGGAGTTGTGGCAGGGGGAGCTGCCTGGCCCCACCAGGCCCTAGTGGGGCTAAAAAGGACCTGGTCTCACGCCGGGAATGGAGCATCCGAGAAGGCCAGAAGTGACACTGGAAAACACTGCAGCCTGCTTGACAGGGAGGGAAGAGCTCTTCACCCAGGAGAGGCAAAAAAGTGCTCTTCTCTGGGGCGAAAGGAGGATCTACAGGGCTGTGAGGCTCTGTCCCATAGCTTGACACTTCAGGGTCCAGATGACATTAGCAGAGAAGTGGAGATTTCCCATCCTTCTGTGGAGAGATTTAGTGGAGCGCTGTAGACACGAGCAAGAGGAGCGAGCAGCAGGACTGKGGCTGGGTTGCTCCGGTCTGCTTAAAGAGCGAGAAACTTCAACGGCTGCAGTGGGATCCTGCATCTTGGCGCTCGCACGTGCCCGAAGCRGGGCAAAGGCAGGGGCGGCACCAGCTCCTTTTCCTGCCCCCTCCTCAACTGCCCAGCAAACGCGCCACAGCTGCGGCTGACGAGCACGGATCACCCTGGGCTCTGGACTAAAAGCAGTTCAGAGAAGGGCAGAAAATGAGGCTGCAGAAAATTGCATTAGAAAAGAGACTAAAAGGCATAAATATTTACAGCTTAGCTAAGCAGTACAGCGGCCAAGGGGAAAAGGCATAAGCTGCCTACAAATATCAAGGTGCTCAAAACAGCACCAAGAGAAGGGATGGATAGTCGGTGATCTCGCAGTGAGGATGTGGTACAACTAACAAAGGGAAAGCAACTTCAAAACCTAATCTGGCAGGTCAGCTTCACCCTCCACCCACCCCTACCTGCTGCTGGGACTGAAAACTAGGCAAGATACAAAGAAATGGTTGTGCAAAGAGTGCTGCACTAGCTGGGAGAGGAGCCAGGTGACTCTGCAGGACATTTCATATCGAAGGTGTCTGAGTGAGGAGCGGCCAGGAGGGCAGGGGAAGGTGCGATGCAGAACACACAGAGCTGCCATGGATCGGCATCATGTCGGCACCAAAATGCCTGCAGTTGGGTTTATATTATTATTTTTTTATTATTAGAATGATTAAGTGGGCTCACTGCAGGGAATGTCAATGAGATCATCGCGCAATAGATAGGGAATCAAATGAAAGCACCAGTAATGCTTCCAGTCAGCATGTAAAAAGGTTCCCAGGGTCCTTCCAGTAATGCTTCCAGCCAGCAACTAGCACTCAAGACTGCAGACTGCAACAGACATTTTAGTTACTAACAAGGATCGCGACCAGCTCTCTCCCACAGTCCAATCCACAGCTTTTTCTGGATGTTTTGCTTATAAATGTGACTTCTAATGCTTCTTCTCTTGACGACTCCGGCTCTTCTAGTTCATTTTTCCCCCTTAATTTCTTTTTTGTTTGCAGTTTCCTATATGCCTACAGATGCTTGTTTCAGTAACCTCTTTACCCCTAATTTGCCTCCCCTCGCACTAACCACATTGCATCAGTCGTCTTCCTAGCAATAGGATTGCAACAGTTAGGTTCACAGCTAGTCAATGCTCTCTTAAAGTCAGTGGAAGATCAGCTGTAAAATCGCCATCAAGACCCTTCAAACTCTTCCAGTGCCTGAGACAAGGTTCAGCTCCCACTCCTTGCTGGGGCAGAGTGTTACACCACTCTGACCCTCAGCTGGGTGCTTATCTTCAAGGTGGGGGAAAGAAACAAACAACCTGATGCCTTAACTTAGTAACATGCGGGATTTCTCTGTCAAAAGCAAGGGTTTGTGCTTGCACAGTCCAGACAGGGCCACCAGGATGAGCCACCCCAGCTGCACCACATGCAATCTCTGAACCTGCTTTTTGTGTGCGGAGAGGGGATGCAGCCCGGTCAGAGCCCTGGATTTTTGCCAGGCACACAGAAGGTCTGACTGCCAAATTGGCTTCTGTGGTTTTTCTAATGTGGTTTGTGGCTTTACTAACGTGGACTCCTTTGGGTATATTTTCAGTGTCTCAAGCAAAGAATTAGACTTGCAGCTCTGGTGATTGTTAATGGGATGCCTGCACCTAATATGTGCATGACCTACACTGCAGGAGGGCACTCTCGTTGCTCCAGCCTTTCTACCCTACTTTCAAGCAGTCTCTGACCACACACACAGAAGCCCAGTTCTCACCTGGACACATCTGTGGCACCAGGAATTTGCTACATGGTGACCCAGGACAGATTCCTGGAGCTATTACTTTGCAGTAGGTCCATCCATCCATTGATGGATGAGGAAAGAGGAAAGAACATGTGCAGTGAAGGCACAGACAGCAGTCAAGGCACTGTATACAAGTCCAGCTTACACTGCTGACTYTGGGTCAGAGGTTAGACCAGTAGTTAGTTCTCCTCAAAGAACTTCTAAGCAACAGACCAGGAGAACTTCTCAAGACAAGGCTGCTTTTTGGCAATCTAAGTTATCATTGGGCTGCTGGTAAGAGCTTCACTATAGAGCAGCATCAAGTTAAACCATAAAGAACTGCTTCTATATGTCAAGGAGCTGACCGTATTAATAGGCCTTAATGCTTGACCAAGGATCTTTTACATACTGATTTTTTTCTGCAGATGCAAGAAACTGTGTGTAGGGCTGCAGGTGAGCACCCCTTTCTCAGATGTTATTTCCTTTGACCAGTGACACTGGAAAGAGCACATAAATCTCTCCTCATACTGTCATATGGAGGGCACATGGCCTCACAAGCCCAGAAGGACATGCAGGGTTGGCTGTTCTTGTCTGGAGGGGACTTAGACAATGACACCTCTGGAAAAAGGCAGGAAACCCTCTGCTATAAGGCACAGAAGCTCAGATTTAAGTTAAGAGATCGGATGCGTGTGCAGTGGGCTGCCTGACCTCCGCGTTCCTTCCATCCTGACACCGTTCCCTCTGATCCTGGCTTGATTGCAGACCTGCTGGGACTGAGTCCTCTTGCTCCCTGTGACCCTCTCTGTCACATCTACAAAAGTTATAAATCCCTTGACAGCAGGGGCTACGCTGCTACACTTCTCCACAACATCCTCTCTTCTCCTAGTGCTACTTGACTTCAGCAAGCCCACAGCATCTTTGTCATGGGCAGGGACAAGCACCAGGGCTGCAGCAAGCCTGACTCATTTGTCACCTTCCTCAGGGGAATTATAACACAGGAACTTGTCTTGTTTGTCTCACCTACTGCTCTTGCCCCCAAGCATGGTTACACACACCTACAAATATGTTTTGACTTACAAAAATACTAGTTCTACGCTCAGACTTGGGATTTCTCTTAAAAACAAAACAAAAAAAAAAAAAACAAAAGCAACCCTCATATCTTTCATTGACAACTACACAGGCAACGTTTTAACCTGTGCTTTTAAATTACTTTTTTGAGCACGCTTTCATTATATTGCTTCACTATTAAGACATTAGTATCAGCCGGGCCCAGAATTGGGTCAGAACTACCCATTTCCTCTAGGCAGGAGTTAAGTCCCTTGCTCTGCTTGCTGTGTTCAGCGCTGAGTGACAATATCAACACTGCCTCAAAAGGCAGAGGAAGGCTTACATGAAAACACTTAAGTGACTGCATCTTTAGTACTGCATTTGGAAGCCTGGAGGCAGCTAAGCCCCCTGCTTCTGATATCAGTCCTCCAAGGTCTCCTATTCTCTTCTAGCCTTTCAGAAAAGGCATTAGGAATCAGCAATGACTTCATCAACCTGATGCAATACCATGTGAGCAGTAACAGATCTTTCTTTAGCTGCCAATGCCCATGCAGTGGTGATTAAAAAATGATTTCAGCAACTAAAGCACATGCTGCCCCTACTTGCTGCATCTTTCTTTCTTGGATGATAGTAGCAAAGATCAAAAAGTCTATCTGTTCCTCTCAGGTTTTCTTCTTGCTCTGCCCTTGCTATGGCTCCCTGGCCAGATACAGAAATTATTCATAAAATAGTCCTCACCTTGCAGAGACTGTACAGGATGATCAGGATCCCCCCTARGAAGTAGCTGCTTGATGGATCATCTCCCATGATGTATTTATACCACAGCTGGATTGGGACAAGGGAGCGGAACAGCTGGCTCAGCTCTTCAATAATCAAATAAAACTTTCCCTGTAAAATAAGCAATGCATTATCACTGTCAGGTTTTGCACATACAGGAGTTAAAGCTACACAAAGAGACCCATAGAACCGGCAGCTTTTTTTTTTTTTTTAAAGCTTAAAGCAGTCCTTGTCTTCTGGTGCTCACTTCCACTAGAAAACCTTCCTTCCTTCCTTGAAGGACACCTGCAAGGCATCATTAACTCCTCCTGGCTTGCTACACCTGCAAGGTGAAACAACTGATACAGATTATTCCTAATTATGTCATTTCTAACCCCGAACACCTAAGACTAGGACTAGGAAGCTKGTACCTAAATTTGCCTAACAAAAGGTCTTGCCATGCTCCTGGTGAGCTGTGTTCTGTCCCACGCTCTTTGAAAGGGAGAGATGGGGCTGGGGTAATAGGCTTGGACAAGCAACGAGCACAGAAATCACCACAAGCTGTAATGACATTACCCAGACTAAGATTTTTGCTTTTATGTCAATGCTACCCTATTGATAGSAGAGGAGGGAAATTCCCCTGGAATTTTGCTGTGTTGTCCCAATTAGCTTTGTCATCAGTGAAGTCATCGCAGGTCAGTCATTAATTGGTGGGGTTTGACGAGGGGATTAAGTCCTAYGCGGTCCACAGGAGTGGCGCCCGCAGCACCGTCCCCTGGGCCTGGGGGATGAGATCACTCGCAGGCCACGATGCTGCACCGAACAAATCGAAGCCTTTGGAGAGCTCTGGCATTCTCATGATCTCATTTCCCCCGGGACACGGAGTGAGGTCACACCAGCAGTTGCTAACGGACCTGTGCCGCTTTCCTCCCCTCCTCCTTGCTAATCCCAGGTGGCATCACACCGCAGAAATGTAACAGCAACAATCTGGGATCCTAAATGCGAGCAATTTATTAAATTAGCACGGAGGGCTCTCTCCAGCCTCGTGCTTCGATACCATCATCGTTATTTCTGGAGCGCCCGTGACAGAGGGTTGCGGGCTGCTRAGGGCCGAGGGCACCGGCTGCTCGCTTTCTCCTAGCTCGTCCTCCCGCCAGGCTGTCGCTTCGGTTTCCAGCCTTGCTTCCCGAGCGGGCTGTGCTGCGGCAGGTCACTGCTGCTGCTCTTCTTGCATCAGAAGGAATTTCGGGATGAGGTGTTCGGAGCGATTCTGCAGCTTTTCTCTCTGAAGCTGGAAATCTTGGCAAAACGGGATTTTTTCTACGGCAGACACAGCAACACTACAGCCCACAGCTAGATTTAAGGAAAGATGGGTCCTAGAGGCAGCCTTTGGGGTGCAGGCAGGCTGCCAAGCTACAAGAGACAGAGCGTGGCTGCAAGATAAACCTGCAGTGAGCAGAAARCCTCGATTTTAACTATAAAATCCCCACTCTTTACAAAGCTGTCACAATTTTTTCATCAGCGAGTGCTAATCTTCCGTTTTTGTTGGTAACTGCAGGGTATCAGGATTGCTTAGCAGCTAGATACCTGTKAACACCCTCACAAGAGGGCAGTTAACAGCTTTAAGTGGATGCAACCCCCAGTCCAGCCCATTAACACCCCCCACTTGACCATTTGAGAGACCTGCTGATCAGCTTAGTGGCTGAACAGGGCTAGCAATGACTAGGAGAGGACTAGTAAAGGGCATCCAGAAGAAATGTAAGGCTGCCCTCCTGTATGAGCGCCGCTCTATTAAGACAGAAAAAAAAATAAAATCTAGAAAATCAGCACTATCTACAAAGAGCTGAGCCAGAAATAAGTCAGGTCTTGCTCCTGAAGTAGAAGCTGAGAAAACAGGATTAACTCCTTGTAACTTCAGCGGAATTTAGCCTTCTGACACGAGCAAYTTATTGCAAGCAGGAGCCCTCGCTTGTAAATGCACTCAAGGCTCCTTTCTGTCTTCTGCTTCTCAGCTTTACTACATTTTGGCYATCTAAGCTGAAATTTTCCAGTGTCTCAAGCTTCAGTTTTCATCTGAAAACTTCAGTTAAAGGACTCTGATATTTCTCAAAATTAGGAGAAAAACACTTAAGTATAACTACAGCTATTTCTCCTGAGCATTTTTTGCTTTGGAACATGAGCTTGAAAAATGCAAGAGCTGCCTCTCTGTTGGTAATTTATCTTTTCCTCTTTCATAARAGATCCATGGAAATCTGGGCAGCTTATAAAAAAATGCAAAAGAGCTGATAAAAACRAGCAGATTTCTGTAGTGAAAATTAAGGAGAGCTCTTGGTGGTCAGCGTGTTGTGGCCTCAGTGCTGTGTGCAGGAACCAGCCCTGCAGAGCAGGGTGTGTCAGGCCCTTGCAGTTAAACCAGACTAAAACAGAACTGGATTATGAAAGCTAAGTAGAGAAGGTAGCGTGGATGAGGAGGGTCTGGTGCTAGGGATGGGAGGTGGTGAAGCCTGAGAAGTGACCACAGCTACAGGTAGGTGGTGGGAGGAGTGAAGCTGGCTGCAGCAAGGAACACATCCGCSACTGCCAGAAAGCGCCAGGCTTCAAACGCCCAATGTCACTTCTCTGTTGTCACCCAGTACCAGTGCACCTTCCCAGTACAACCTCACCTTGCTTCCTCTTTTGGGTCAGCTTTTGCAAAAGTTGACAGCCTGCTGCTATCAAATGCTCCATTAGCACAAGTGGCAATGWGCTTAATGACTCTAATTATACGTGATGAGTCATGCCACGCTGCAGCAGGCACCTCCTGTCCAGAATGCTTAGGTTGAAAAGTGCAACTAGGGACTCCCTTCTCCTCCACTTCATTCACCACGTTAAAAGAATATTTCTCTCTCTCACAGTATTCACTGTGGAGGAGCAGAACTCAGGTTCTCTAGCCAAAGTCAACCTTCCCTCTGTATATGCAGTGCTACAGTCTTTAATCATGTAGCAGCTGCTTTCTTTTCTTACTGGGTGAGGGATGCTCATTAAGCAGGTGACTCCAGCATTCTGTTATACCCTTATTAGTCGATGTCAAGTCTATATACCATCACTTTATGCTGTTCCAGACACTTTGATTTGAGYAGAGAATTCCTAAAATCTCCTCAATCCTTTGTAAGTCACTGTTACAATATAAGATCCTTAATTTATTTTCACACTGTTGGTTGGGCTGAGGGGCAGTTATCATCTCCATTTTCTAAATGAAAGCTTAGGACATACAAAGAGTAATGTTAAAGGTACTGTTTATTTGGTGTCCAAACTGAGATGTCTGGGATTGCACTTTTTACAATGCACTTTTAATATTAAGTGATCTACACAATTAAGACACTGACTTCAGTTTGAAGCTGCTTATGGCTTTCCACGCTTTGTATAGGAATTATTTGGCAAGCAGAAGAACGGAATTCTATTCTCCAATGCAGCTTTCAGGATGTTCTAACTTAAAGAACACCCTTCTTTTTCTAACAGTCTGTTTTCTCCATAAATGGTTCAATTTATACAACAGCTTCTCTCAGCACACCACCTTGCTTTATCTGCATGGCACAGCATACAGTGTTTGGTGATGAAGTCCTACCAGAAAATAATGTGTCATCTTGTAATTAAACTGAATCATTATATATATGTACACACATACACACAAAGGGGAGCAAATTACAGTTGTGGAAGCCATGCTAACTCCCACATATCCTAACTAAGCTTTGACTTTATAATCTCTTTCGATGTAAGACTCTACACAACGTGCATGTGTGCCTCCACAGAAAGAAATAAAGACACGAAGTTTTTACAGAGTGTAATTAAAATGAGATGCAAGAGAAGTGAGAGAAGTTGCAATGAGGCAACTGTAAGTTGTGATTAGCACTCAAGGGAAGTTCCAAGTCTCACTTGTTCTGTTGCCAGCAGCATTAGGACATATTCTGAAGCAGGAAGATGCTAGAAAAACTTTTGAGACCTGCTGGCAGTTTGGATGGGAGGAGAGCATGCTCTCCAGAGGCTTGAGGTCATATTGCCAATATAAGAAAAATGTGCTGGATAGGAGCAGTAAACAGGATGGTGGCACAGAGGGGGCTAGTACAAATCCATGCAAGACTAATTAGGAGTAATTCCAAGGTRGAACCAGAGAGAATGTGAAAGTCTTCTCTGTATTTTGCATTTTAGCTATTCGTGAGAAAAGCCACCCTATGTGAGATATGTCAGTGCATGTCATTTTTGAAGGTCACATCTCAGATTCCTCAAACCATGAAGTTAAACTTGAAAGGCACCTATGAGCAATGAGTCCCTTTAAAAAGCCTAGTCTAACAGCAGTGACTTTCAAAGGGTGTTGGGGAGAGGGACAGAAGAGAAACCCAAGTCTTCACTACCTCGTGTAAAACCTACACATTTCTGTCACAAGGACACCACAGCTGTTCCACTCTGAAACAAGAAAGTCTTTGCAGAAACATCACAGTTTCTAGACTGTGGCTCTCAAGGATCAAGGCTCAGGCTGTTGTCTAGGATGAGCAACCCTATTTGAGTGAGTTCCTCACCAAGAACATCCATGTGATCCTCAAGGAGGATCCATCAAGGAGAGAAAGAGAACCAGTAACTACCACCTCTGCGGAAGCTCTCCAGGCATAGATGAAGATTATCTTGTATGTATCACAGTGCAAAGAGGACTGGAAGGACATGGAACAGGAAGATCTTTATCTTTACCTAGWTATTTTTTGTGTAACATATAATCTATGTGCTGATATCCAGGGATGACGCGAGTTGTGTAAATGTCTCTCTGAGTTCAGTCAGCAGCATCCAGAGGACTCAAATGCTCCAAGACACCTCATTCTTCTCAGGCCAGAGGTAACATACCAACTTCTCCCTTTCGAGTGACTGAAACATATCTGGCCCCACGGCTGGATGAACACCAGAGACAGGCTGCTGCCATCACATCAAAATTAACACTTTCCTCATGGGAACGCTCTGGGAGAAGCTGTGGCCTAGAGAAACTGCTCTCGCAGCAGCAATCTGCTCCAGCTTGTGCTGCTTCCCTGGCATCTGCAGGGACTGACCTGTTCAGATGGACTGCTCCACGTGAACGCTTTCTGCACAAGAGCTCGTTGCTCGGGGAACAC